GGGCAAACAGCAAACGTTCGCCCGCGTTAGCGGGGTCGATGAATGAGCCATCTGGCCTAATGCATCTGTTGTCAGTGTTAACCACTTTGTTGCCCTGGGGGCCACTACCGGTTTTAACCTTGTTAGGCATGTAACGCCACTGACGCAACGCCGAAAGCATGAACTCCTTGGTCCAGATGGGCCTAGGTCTTGGTTCGAAGTTCGCGGGAGGAGTAGCTGGAGGTGGGTCGAAAGGCGAGTCGTTACGCCCTTGTCTATAACAGGCCTTGATGAGGTCATCAAAAGCCTCCTCAAGCTTTGACATGGTATGACAACGCAAACGCGCGTACAGATTTGGGTCGTTAGAGGGAGATCGAACCAAGTCCTCATATGTGGCATACTGACTGAAGTTGGCAAACATAGGGTTACTGACGTTCTTATTAAAACGCCCCAAGTTGAATTCTGCCGTATGGTTCACTTGAAATCTGTGGCCATCAAGGAAAGTGTTAAGTTGGGAGTCGACAAACGACTTTGTTCGGACTTTATCGTCGCCATATATGTTATCGAGTTGTTCTTTGGTGTCAGCCATAGCTGACGGGTATTTTTATGTGTGAATGTGTACCAGGCTCACAATTAAGGACAGGTGTGACAAGCACCTCTTGGCACACACACAAACAAGAGCAGTCTCTCGCACAAGTGGGAAGGGTACGTCTAACGACGCACCCGCGCCATAACCTGTAAAGAAACTAAGTCCCGTACATCAACTTGACGTTAAGGTACAGTCCGTAGTAGCAGGATAGGCACAGTGGGTGAGAGGGGAAGCTCAGTGTGCTACCTTACGGTAGCGCAGTCATATGATAGTAACTGATTATAAAGGAGGGGGAACGGGAAAGAGAGCCTAACTAGGGTAGGTACAGTACTAGCATGATGGTAGTAGGGTAGTGGTAGTGTAGCGTACTGTACTACAGTATAGTCATGGAGATATAGAGATAGAGAGAGAGAGACAGACAGCAAGGTCAGTCTATATTCTT